TAGAATGATAGTGAAGATAATGTCCCAACTTTATTAATTTTAAAGCAAACATAAAATGCTGTGATGGCTCAGAATTATAATTAAGAAGCATTTTTTGTCACATGCAATAGTAACTTATTGATAACTTTTTTCCTACCAGTAAAGGATTTTCCATAATATGATTATTAAAGAGTCACACCTGCTTAAGTTATGAATAAACCATATGAACATCATTCTTTAAATATGTATTTATTATTCATAAATGTTGAATATTTACATTCAATATTTATTTTGTATTCTGAAGGACCTACAGAAATTCCTCCCATTTCAAAGTAAATATTAACATTCAGTGAATCTCTATTGAAGTGAGAGCCAGAGAGAAAGTTTGCTCAGGTGTTATTATGACCATGTTTGGGGATGATTATAAAAATATAAAGACAAACATTGTTTCCACATCTGAGAATGAATAAAGGTACCATCAATCCTCCTCAAAATGGTCTTTGGTGTGGCAGTTTAATTATTTCTAGGTCAACTGGACGTATATTGCTTTTAAGGTGGAATTTCTAAGAAGCATGCTTTTGAGTTTTCAGTGCGAGTCCCTGAAGCCACTTAGACTTTGTCCATAATTGTGGGCAGAGTGTTAACTCGCATACTATTCCAATGCATTTGATGAATTGAGTCAAACTGACCTGCTGTTTACTTTTCTTCAGTGTTATCAACCCCCTTCCCTCTGTTCTGTTTTTGAGTTTCCCTGCTCTTTTTCAAGCTTACACAAGATTCAGTTGCGTTTTCCTTTTTGCTTAGCCATTTCTTACAAGCAGATACTTACAAGCAGACTTGTTGTGATCTAGTGTTTTTACTATAATTTTCCAGATTCTTCAAAGTAAAGGATGCTCTAGGTTTCTTCTCTACTACTATCTAATTTGCTGGTCCTTACCCTGGCTATACGTCAAAACCATCAGAATTTTTTTTTTTTCTTTTTCTTTTTGAATGCCAAAGCCTGGCCCTTTCCTATATCAATGAAATCAAAATCCATCCCCCTCACCCACTTTCTCAGCAATGTACCATATATTTTTACCTTTCTACAACTGCACATTTACAAATTTCTAACATGTATGTATTCTTTTACAGTTACAGTGTTTTTTTTAAATTTCTCATTAAGACTTTAAAAAACATTTAATGGTGGTTAGTTTACTATATACTTACTTCCAAAAGGGTTATAACTTGTTAAAAAATATAAAACGTAAGAATGAAAAGAAAAAACAAACACTTACAATTAACACAGAAATAGATGTGATCAAGCACCTAAAATTAGCTTTTTCAGGTGAATGTTGAATCTGGCTGCATCCAGGCAGCTAAGCAGAGAGGAGTGCATACACATTGCTCTAGGTCAGAGGTTTTCAAACTTTATCACACTTCAGAATTGCCCGCAGGGCTTGTGAACACACAGCTTGCTGGGACCCATCTCTGCTCTATCCGATTCAGAAGCCCTGAGGTGGGACTTGTGAATGTGCGTTTCCAGCGTGTTTTCAGGTGACGCTGATGCTGTTTGCCCAGAGACCGCATTTTGAGAAGCACCAGCTTATGCAATCCCTTCTGTTCGGTAAAACACATACACAGTGTCAATATTTGGTTAGATTCTTTTACTAATAAGACAAAATAATTACATTGTCATCAATATTGATAAAGGTAATATTTTTCTCCCAAAAATAGTATTTTATAAATGTATTTAGTGCCTCCCATTACTTTCTATCTCCTCACCTGTCTTTTCTGCAAGGTGTTTACGCAATGTTCATTATAAAGCTGATGCCATGGAGAAGAAACTAACAAACAAATGTTCCTGAATTTTCCACTGATTACAGTAAGTCCTCACTTACTGTTATCAGTAGGTTCTTGGAAACTGTGACTTAAAAGTGAAACGGTGTATAACAAAACCAGTTTTTTTTTCCTCATCAACATTATAACAAAATGACATTGAGGGGAAAGGACATTATTTGAGGATCTGCTGTATGTTGTTTTGCTTAAAGTCACAGTTTCCAAGAACCTCTCAAAAATGTTAAGTGAGAACTTAATCTATAAGCCGTTTCTTCAAATTTGATTTCTTTAACCCAACCCTAATTCCTCTCTGAGAGGACCGTGGCTACTCTGAGGCTTTATCGGGTAGAAGGTGTTTCTTACCCAGCTTCCGTGTACCCTGGGATGCGTGCTTTTGCATGGGTATGTGCATGTGTGTTTTAGGGTTTGAGGGATTTCATTTTTCTCTCTCCTTGTTGGTATCAAGGTTTACCAACCATCCCAGTGAATGGAAGAGGACGTGGTATCAGGGCTGATTTGCTTTCCTAACCTTAAACCCACCACAGTACTCTACGGAGAGTCATTCATTCTCTCTTTCAGTCTCCTTCATTCTTCAAATTCTGTGACTTCACCTCCATTTTTTTACAGCTGCTCACTTCTGTTGCAATACTCCACGCCTTGTAACTTCCAAGAATTGCTCTTATTCTAAAACTTTAAGCTCTAGAATTTCACTTTGACC